GGGGGGAAGACCCAAATTCAGAGGAGTTTCGCCCCGTCTTGCCATGGGGAAAGGGTTTAGGTTTGCGGTGAGGCTGGGTACCAAGAGGAGTTTGCTCACGGATTAGGCATGTGTGTAGGTGGCGGGAGAAAAGCGCTGCGCCAGTTGTGCAGATGACAAACTGTATTTGGAGGGGAGGGGAAAAAAAGGGGGGGCATAGTATTATGGCATGATAGTAAGTCTTCGCAACGAGTTTGGCACTGCTCGGTTCCTGCCATATTAGCAAAGCCATAGATTTTTTTTTTTTCCAAGCCCACTGAGGCAAAGATGAGGCAAACTCAGCCATAGGAAGGTGGTTAGTGATGTCACAAGTTTGGTCTTTTCAATAAAAGCAATAGAGAAAGGTCTCCCTCACTATATATATTAGGAGAAGCTTCTGTTCTTCATAATAAAAAGAGCAGCAAGGGAGAAAAGCACCTGCTTCAAAAACCCTTTATTTAACACTAATCTGTTGCACTCAGAATCAAACTCTTTAAGGTTGGATTTCTTTTAAAAGGTACTTCTTTTTTGAATTATTTCACTTCTTTTTTCTTTTTCTTAAGGATAGAGAATAGTTTTGGAAGCAGCTGCTGAGAAGAACAACCACTGTTGGCCAGGGTGATCTCTGAGAGGCACAGAGGGCTGTAACTCAAGGAAAAGGTGAAGTAATAAATTGTGAAGAAACTTCAGTATTCCAAGTTTATAAAGGCTATTTATTTTTCCTGAGTCTGTAAGTTTTTTTTTTTTTTAATTTCTGGGAGAAAGGAATTTCTAAAAATATTTGATGGACGTTTTACCATTAACACCAGCAATAGAGCTATGAGTATGTGGGGGGCTGTTTTCAGGGGATGTCACAATTATTTTTAATTAGTCGAAAGGGTAAAGTAAATCAAATAAGCCTGTTAGCTATACATTTTAATTTATTGGTGCACAGGGGATTTATTTACAGCATAAACGATTTAATGTTTTCAGCATGATTTCTATTTCAGCTCTGATGTTTTCAGTTTTATTTGCCTGTGTGGTATGAAATTTGGCTAACTAGCTGGGCTTTCTTTATTGTGGCAGCAAGTATCGTTTAACGCAAAGTAACCTGCAGGTATGAAAACGGTTCGCTCGCAACCAAACTTTCTTCAGAAAGCATTCTGGAAATCGGGGCGAGGATGAGAAGGAGCACCCACCCAGCACACTTCAGTGTTTTGTTGCGGGCACTGGGAAAGGGTGTGCTGTAAAGCAGGCTGTCGGTGGCAGGAGCCGACGACCCCTGCGTACCTGCTGGAGGTGGGCACGGAGGGGGCAGCGGACGGGTCCCGTCCGCCGCGGGGGCGCGGAGCGGGGCTATGTGCATGGCCGGGGGCGCTGTTGGCCGTGATGGTGGGAGGGAGCCTGTGTCCCCCAGGTGTTTATTCCTGCCGGAAAACACCTGGGCAGGGCCAAGGAGTGCGGGACAGCCCATCCTCTGTTGTTACACACTTTCTCAGAAGACTGGCTTACAAATTATTTCTCTTAGAAAGAAGACAAGGGGTGCCGCGGGGGAGGGAGCGGGGGCATCAAAAAAACACAAGCTTTTCTCCCCATACGTTACTTCATAATAGCCCAGGGCAGTTTCTTGAGCAAGGAGGCTGTATAAAGGGGCGGATTGTGTTACCTTTGGTTTTTCACATAAGTGTTTTCCTGTGATGGAAAATTCGGCCGTTGCCTCGGTGGGGGGAGAAGCGCGGGGCGGC